AAAACAAAAAAAAACATACTAACGAAATATTTCAATTCAAACGCAGATCAATCGATAAAGCTCAATTCCACCGCCAATTGCACTGAAAAATAAGAAAAACTGTTAAGAAAACGAAATGAAAAACAATGAAAAAATAAAAAAATAAACTATACTCACGAAATGAACGCTATGGTAAACGACACAGCTCAATTCCAACGCCATTGTCACACGAAATAATTAAATCAAAATAAATCGAAATCTATGAAAATTCAATTTAACAATGCAATCGGAAACAATGAAATGGAATCGTAAAATTGGAAATTTGGAAATCGTAAATGGATCGTAAATCGGAAACATTGAAATGGAATCGTAAAATATTTAGTATAGCGTGTGTTGCTTTTACGTCCAACAGATGGCGCTGTTTTTCCAAAAAGCGTGTTTTTACCTGTCACAGGTGTGACATTTATATAATAGTAGGTATATAAAAACACGCGTATTCGAATGCAACGTTGTGTCAAAATTTCAAAGCATTCGGTGAAGAACTTTCGGAGATTTAAGATTTTGAACAAACGAACATTTACATTTTTATTTATAAATAAGAATTATATAGATTTTCCAATATTTTGTAAGGTACAGTGAGGTTGGAGTTACCATACATTACATATGTATGTATGTATATATATGTGTGTGCGTGTATATATATATTATTATTATCATTATTACTATATACAAATAAATATTTCACTTTCTGTTATTTTTGTTAAAACATAGAACAGTAAATAAAAAAATATTTGGAAAACAATGATTTCCACTACTTACAATATTTTGAAGTTCTTTTTTTGCACTCGTGAGTTGTACTTGCTAACACTTGTCGTAAGTCTTGTCCAAATTCACACGTTAATGTAGAAAAATATAATTTCTGTAGACCTTATATGTACATTTTTGTATACCAAAAAATTGTAAATGACTATACTGATACCACAAAAATCTATTGTAATTTACCAGGCTTCTTAACTATGCTGTATTTCAGTGTAAAAAATCTAATTTCTGTTCAGAAAATAGCATTGATCATAATACTTCAAACTCTTCAAAAATATAGGAACTGTTCTCTCATAAATAACTTGGAAAGACTAATAGAATTACATGGAGGAAATGTAGAGCTTTTGATTGGTTATGAACTTGTAGGTATAAAAAAAGCAGGTGTAAATAAACAAGTCTTCTCAAATGATGAAGTGGTGGGTGGAGCCAATATGATGAATTTGATAAATATTATGATATCTCAGTAATAAGAAAAGGTAGGAGGGTCTTATTTATATTCTAGCTTGCCAATATCAGAAATTTAAGTTTATAATTCATATAAAACTATAGACATTGTATTGTGGATGTCATAAAATGTACTCTGACCAAATCCAGAAGATGACGTACCACTGTGACTCTTTCTTTTTATATATTTACTTTGAAATTAAGAAAGTAACTAATGTATAATACTAAAATTTGAATTAAAATTTACAATTTTGATACTAAGTTTATTGACATACATTCATAAAATAGTAGTTCAATAAAATTTTGAATGTAAGTCTACAAATGTGATGGCATGCCCTCTGACCCCTAGCTACCCATTTCAGTATGATTAAGTACTAGCCAAGTCTTTATTTTCAGTAAAGGGGAGAAAAGTTTAAAGTTACAGTTCCAAAGCCGTTGTTGTTAAATTATTTTTTCAAAATTTTTGGAATTTTCGTCATTTCAATGTATTAACCCTTTCCACCATGCAGGTAGGGGTCATCACGTTTTGTAGACTTACATACAAAATGTTATTAAACTACTATTTTATGAGTTTATGTACATAAATTTGGAATCAAATTGGGATTTGTAATTCAAATTTTAGTATTATACATTATTTAATTTCTTAACTCAAAAGTAAATATTTAATACAAATTGTTTTTTTTTGTGTGTGTGTGTGTGTGTG